ATTCAGATTATCTCATTTGTAACAAATTACGATGATAACAATGATAATGGTGACAGCAAAAAGAAAAGGCCAGCAGAAAAACAGAAACTTTCTAGACGGATTTCCAGGAGAATAAAAATAACGAAATAATAATGATAATGATGGTGAGGATGACGATGATAGTTAATACAACAACAATAATATTGATATAGGAGATAATAATAATAATGATAACAATGAACAATTACTAGAAGTTAAACGCGAAACTGTTGTGAGAAATGCGCAGTGACTAAATATGAAACTATATATATATATATACATATATACATATATATATACATATACATATATATATATATATATATATATATAAAGTAACAGCACTTCGTCATGCTAGAATTTTGACTAGGGAATCGCATCGAAATTCCTCCTTCAGAGTCTTTTTCATTCTGGATCATGAATTTCCACCTGTCGTGAACCTGAGTTGGCAAATATGTAAAGCAAAGAAGTAGGGCTAGTGTTGATCCTGTTGAGGGCACCAATTTGTCAGTACACCAGTCAGTTCCCTGATGATTTATTCATTTGTTTAGATGGCCAATTATTACTAGCACTTGCAACTTAGTCAAACTTCCATCAACTTGCTTCTAACCAACGCTTGAAAGGGGAAAACATCAACAGCTATGCCAATGACATTTACTGGTTTCACTTTCTATCACTCGGACTACTTCCTGAGCGCGCCTCTCATAGAGAGTGAACGCGGAGATGGTTTTGAGTCTGACTGAACATTCGGACATCAAAATGCACACATATATTGCCCTTCGCTGTCCTTTGGAATGGAAATCGTACAATAGTTCTGGAAAAAGTCCCGTAGTACCATCTCTTAGTGCGAGCCTTTCTTTCGAATCCATAGTTTTTTCCCTCTTTTTTTAACTTTTTTTGAACAATTAATGGCTTTCAGAAAAAACTCAGACTAGTACCGAAATTTTAGAGCGGAAAAGTTCCAAGTAATTTTAAATGCTAAATTCAAACTGCAATGAACAGTGAATAATCACATCCACCAGTTTTGAACGTTAACCTGACCCCAAGTTCAGATTTGTGTTATAACTTTAGACGGAAAGATGCTACGACTTCAGCTCAATTTTTTGATGATTTATCGCGAAACCTAAAATTTGTCAACGATTTTTTTTTGCT